CTTTTAAAAAGAAGATAGCTGCTTATTTCCTTGACATCTGATGGGAGGGCGTTCCACAGGCCGGCGCCACTACCAAGAAGGCCCTCTGTCTGGTTCCCTGTAACCTCACTTCTCGCCATGAGGGAACCGCCAGAAGGCCCTCGGTGCTGGATCTCAGAACAACTCCTCTTCAGCGTTCTTCCCACACCCCTTTTCCTGAGGGACCCCAGGAGCCAATCCGCAGTGGCTGACTTGCTTCCTTTCACTCTGAGGGGCTCCAGTTGGTGCAAAGGGTGAAAAGGCACATTCGCTCTGCAGGACACGTATTCCCAGGGTCCTCTCAGACCTGACACTGTCCCTGAGCAGCAGTGGCTGGCTTCCTGTTGGATTGGTAGTATGGGAAGTATAAAAGTATAACGCTTCTGCTTTCAAAGTTGCTGCTGCAGCTGCTCTTGCTAAATGAGGGAGGAAGCAGTCCGAATTAAAAAGCCGTTTGTAGAACACCGGAAGAAGGTTGTAATAATTGTTATTTATACTCAGGCATACCTTTTAATTTCAGTGGGTCAGGTCTCAGTATGACTAACATTGGATGCAACCCAAAGTATCACACAGTGGCAGATTCTAACATTTCTTTGTTGCATTTAAAAAAAAAAAAAAGGTATTTTGTGGCCAGGTTACAGCACTTGCTATGTGGAACATTGTTCCTCCAGAAATAAGACCTGCACCAACTGGTTTACATTTTCTGCACATGCTTGAATCGGAGTTGCAGCGGGTTGGACTGGATGACCCTTGGGTCCCTTCCAACTCTACCATTCTACCATTCTATGATTCTTATTTACCCGAGTGTATCTCCAGAGTGTTGATATACTGGCTGTGCATTCTTATCACTGTGTAATTCTTAGAATCGTCTTTTATGATACATGTGTGCGATCTTATTATCTTTGCATGGTTTTGATTACTTTCTACCCCACACTTTGAGATTTTTAAAATATAAAGTGGCTGATAAGCATCTTAAATCAATAAATGTAACAGGATATTTTCGTTCATTGAGGAGCCCTCAGCAAAGGAATTCAATGCCGAGCTGTTCTGGTTATAACTTCAGTGCAAGCATTTTGGCTAGCAAGATGTACTGATAATTCCCCTGTACTGTTCCAGGGGTTCTCCTGATTTCCCTCAAGCTAATTTTTGGGGGTGCTCAGGAGGATAAGAAGGGGGTGGGGACTCCACTGCAGAAGCAAAAATTCTGGCACAGGGCTTTCATTGATGAGACTCATTCCTTGAATCCCACCCCATACTTCCTTCTGCCATTCCAACCTACAAAATGTATCCCCCCTCACTCTCCAGTAATATGCTGTGAAAAGAGGGCACGTCCTTCCGAAGTAGGCTGAAACCAGAGCCATTGGTCGTTTAGACATTAAACAGATCCTTCCGAGGTCTTTTGCGGGGTGAAGTTTATCTTCTCTGATTAGCCACTTTCAATTATCAGATTTTGGCTCATTGCCTAATGAAATTAAATGTGAATTTATGTATTCCATCAATCCTGAGATGACTTTCTGGAGTGTTGCCAACATGAAAGGGAAACAAAACAAGCACCACTTTGCATTAGCACATTGAAAAGAAGAAGGGTTGTTGTTGCTTTCTGCAGAATGACAACAGCAACGGGGAAATCGTCGGATCGCAGTACACTTGCATGTTGTTCGGAAACGGGGGATTCCTGCCTCTTGGTGATCTGCAAGAACATGGAGAAATAATTTTAAAAAAACATATTGCAAGCATAAAGTACTTCCACTAAAAAAAATATTTTGTGGGTACAGCAACCCAGTTTATTGTCAAAGAGCAGACACAGACTCATCTCCTATCTTAGCAAAAAGCACCAGAGCACTAAGTTCAGATATCATTTAATTCCCAGTCTTTGTGCTGTACTGCTTATTAGATGTTATTGTTGTTGTTGTTATTATTATCATGCTTATTAGATATTATGAGATTCCTTATCTTGGAATTTAGTGCTTAGATTAGAATAGATCTCCATGTCTGATGTCATATGATTCGGTCCTAGCCTCCAGAGCAGGAGAAAACAAGTTTGCTTCATCCTCCATGTGGCAGCCCTTCATATATTTGAAGATAGTAATCATATCTCCTCTTAGTCTCCTCTTTTCCAGGCTAAACATACCCAGCTCCTTCAACCATTCCTCATAAGGCTAGGTTTCCTGACCCTTGATCATATTGGCCGCCCTCCTCTGCGCACCTTCCAGCTTGTCAATATCCTCCTTAAAATGTGTTGCCCAGAACTGGACACAGTATTCCAGGTGTGGTCTGACCAAGGCAAAATAGAGTGGTACTATTTACAGGTTACAGACGCTTCAGGTTACACACTCCGCTAACCCAGAAATAGTACCTCGGGTTAAGAACTTTGCTTCAGGATGAGAACAGAAATCGTGCTCTGACGGCGCGGCGGCAGCAGGAGGCCCCATTAGCTAAAGTGGTGCTTCAGGTTAAGAACAGTTTCAGGTTAAGAACAGACCTCTGGAATGAATTAAGTACTTAACCCGAGGTACCACTGTACTGTTGTTGATGCAGCCTAGAATAGCATTAGCTTTTGGGGCTGCTGCATCACACTGTTGACTCATGTTAAATTTGTGGTCTACCAAGACCCCTAGATCCTTTTCACATGAACTACAGTAAGCCAGGTATCCCCCATCTTATATTTGTGCATCTGATTCTTCCTGCCTAAGTGCAGAACCGTACATTTGTCCCTGTTGAAATTCATTTTGTTAGCTTGGGCCCGGTTCTCCAGTCTGTTAAGGTCATTTTGAATTCTGATCCTGTCCTCTGCCGCATTAGCTACACCTCCCATAGATATGCAATGTGACATCATGCAGAGGTGATAGATCCAAAAGCAATTTTTGAGCCACCCGCAAACCTGTCCCCTGACTCACTTCTGAGCACTGGCACATTAAAAAGGTTTGTGTCTACAGTCATTTCCTGTCCAGAGCCACACTTGCAACAAAAACAGACGAAAAGAATGTCTGAATTTGGAAGCAGTTCTCTTAGCGGTACGTGATCGCAAACCGTTATGCCTTGTGTATCACAGGCTCTTATGCTGGATCCTGAACAGCTCTGTACGAAAGCTGAGTGCAGACCAAGTGCGGCTGTGGGCAAACATTTTTTGCATTGATGACCTACTTCTGGAACTTGGGATTTCCTGTAAACAAGCCTAGCAGAGCCTCTGTGTTTCATGCTCCTTTGGGGACACTTTAGAGTTGAAACAAACCAGGAGGAGTCTTTGGCTGGTCTGTTGCAGATCCCGCCCACTGCTTTCAAGATGAGCCAACATCAGAAAATGAGAGAGGATGCTACATGCTAGCTTTGAAAGTCCCCACTTTGAATGGTTGGATATAAATGGCTGCTCTGGGACTGCAGGTGGGAACTATGCTTGGGCCTCCTCCATCAACCAGATTGCTGGATTATTATTTATTATTATTATAATTTATTGAATCTATGTCCCGCCCTTCTTCCTCAAGGTGCCCCAAGGATTGTACAAAACGAAGCAAAAACCTTCAAAAGTTTAAACATCCCGAAAGCAATTGCAATTGAAAACATAAAACCAGTTACAGTTAAAAACGTTCTTCCATCCGATGATCTCGAGGTTTCCAGTAACACCAGTAACTTCCAGTAACTTCAGCCTCCAAATGCCTGGGGAAACAGGAATGGTACCAATAAAGCAGATGAATTTATTTTTTACATGCAACAGCCACAGCAAGAATAATATATGCACAAAAATGGTGAGATGTGGAGGTACCTACGGTACTAAAGAGGATTGGCAGTGGAAATTGATGGAATATGCCAAACAGGCAAGTTTAACAAGTATAATTAAGGTAAAGGTAAAGGTACCCCTGCCCATACGGGCCAGTCTTGACAGACTCTAGGGTTGTGCGCTCATCTCACTCTAGAGGCCGGGAGCCAGCGCTGTCCGCAGACACTTCCGGGTCACGTGGCCAGCGTGACGAAGCTGCTCTGACGAGCCAGAGCCGCACACGGAAACGCCGTTTACCTTCCCGCTAGTAAGCGGTTCCTATTTATCTACTTGCACCCGGGGGTGCTTTCGAACTGCTAGGTTGGCAGGCGCTGGGACTGAGCAACGGGAGCGCACCCCGCCGCAGGGATTCGAACCGCCGACCATGCGATCGGCAAGTCCTAGGCGCTGAGGTTTTACCCACAGCGCCACCCGCATCCCAACAAGTATAATTAGAGATTGGGATATCAGGATGAGGCAGACTTTAAAGAGGAGGGGGAAATGTTCATTGATTATTATTATTTTTTAAAAAACTATTGTGAATCTGTTAGAATGCAAGTAGGCTTTGAATAAGAACAGTAAAATTGTATCTGAGAAAATTGTGGTGGAGATAAGTTACAGAATGACTATAATATGCAGCAATATTTGAAAGATTGGGGAAATCATAGGGCAGGGGGAGAGGTCCAGTGTTAATTGACTGTTAATTGGAAAATGTTGTATTAACTTGTTTTTCTTCTTTATATATATATATATATATATATATATATATATATATATGTATATATATAAAGGTATGTTATCAAATTTCTCCTGAAAGCCAATAATGATGGAGACAGGTGCACATCACATATTCTATTCTACAACTGGGGAGCCCCCACTAAAAAGACCCTGCTTTGGATTTGTTGGGAAATGCCCTGGGAGTGCCCCTTCAGTCCTGAACTCCAAGCGTCCTCCGGTATGCGCAGCTCTGGAAAAGGCATTTCCCTTCTTCTCCAGTGTGCTTCAGCGACATATATCAAATGATATATGCACACTAATCTTCTAACAAAACACAGCAAGAAGTGTGAAACATCGTAGAACTAATCTAGGTATTTATTTACACGCTATGTACACACAAAGGAAGCATAGCGTTTTCTCTCTCCAGCTCCGAGAGGGAAACGGAAACAAGTAAAAGCAAAAGTACAGTACAATAGTACATACAGCGGAAGAGAAAAGACTTCTGTTCCCTGGATGTGAGGGCGATCTGGCTGCAACATCTGTCACCCCATTGATCGCCAGGGTTGATTCGGCTGATCTGGCTGGCTAGGCGGGTGTCCCCTTCCTCCCTCACCACTCCATGTGCATCCCTCCCAAAGCTGCACGCTTGGTGGAAGAGGACGACCATCCCAGATAGAAGGAATGTACTGTTCTTCGGTCAAGGGTATACGATAGCTGCACTCCCCTGCTAGAACCTTCAAACAAGCTCAAGGTCCATTTGTAGGAGAATGTAGGGTAGTCAAGCTTCCAAGACTCCAGACACATCCAGGTAAGGCGCTTCATGTGGCAGTTTGCCATTAAAAAAAAGACAACTGTCTTCCATTCCCACACTCTTCCCAGTCAGGCATGTGATGTACACCAATCTCATCTGCAGCATCAGAGGCATGAAATACTAACAGAGCCAGTGTGGTGTAGTGGTTAAGAGCGGTAGTCTCGTAATCTGGGGAACCGGGTTCGCTTCCCTGCTCCTCCACCTGCAGCTGCTGGGTGACCTTGGGCCAGTCACACTTCTTTGAAGTCTCTCAGCCCCACTCACCTCACAGAGTGTTTGTTGTGGGGGAGGAAGGGAAAGGAGAATGTTAGCCGCTTTGAGACTCCTGAAGGGGAGTGAAAGGCGGGATATCAAATCCAAACTCTTCTTCTTCTTCATCATCACCACCAGCCAATCAGTCCTGGGTGGTGGCACCACCAACAAACCCTCACCTGACCATTGTAGGGTCCAAAATGGTTGGTAGTGGGTAAGGCACAGAGTATAAATTAAAATAAAATAAAAATAAAATACTGTATCATGGAATCATAGAACTGCAGAGTTGGAAGGGACCCTGAGGGTCGACTAGTCCATCTCCCTGCAATGCCTGAATCTCGACTAAAGCATCTCTGAGAGACAGCATTCAACCTCTCCTTAAAACCCTCTGATGAAGGAGAGCCCACCATCTTCCGAGGAAGTCTGGTCCCCTGTCGACTAGCTGTTACCGCAATCATAAAAAAGAAAGATGGTGTTCTCCAGATAATTTCTCCAGGATGCTGAAAGCCACTTTGTCCTTCAAGCTGCCATCTCTAACAACACAGTCTGATTGTCTGAGTTTCAATTTCCTCTGCGTTTAGGCTTCCTTCACCCTGACATCCTTGAGGATTCTTGCCTCACACCTTACCTATCTATAGAGATGCTGCCTGCTGTTTATCAGAGCACACATGCATTTTTTAAAAAAATTCAGATGCAAGAAGCCTTTTGGAATTCTTTGCAGAAAAGACACCACACACTGGAAGATACCTTAGAATTCTACAGATTCCCCTCTCAAATACTTCAGAAAAATAGTGCCTTTTTTTTTTTAAGGCAGCCTCTCATGCAATCTGTTTATCCTGCACTCAGTACCATTCTGAGTCTCACGTTCAATAAGAATTTTAAGCGTATCTTGTCTTTGCAATCAGAGGGGGATTAAGAGAAATGTACACTGCTCCTTGTTTTATGCTTTCCCTGAGCAGGGGTGTTCAGTCAGTAACAATGGCACTCAATCTCATGAGACACACATCTAATGGCAAACTCTTAGCCTGAGATCATAACGTGGAACTGGGTTTCTCGCACAAGCAAATTTGTAATCATGTAAGCATTCTTCTCTGACTATAGGCAAAGATTGACTCCAGCTTATTAGAGTTGCCCAGCTCTCTAAATATGGCAAAAGCCCAAATTTGGCCATATGCTCCATTCTTATCAACAATTATGTGATTTAAAGTATTTCACGTGGCAGTGCTTTAGAGCAGGGTAGAGTCAAAGCGAAACTGTTTTTTGCTAACATTTTGGACAGTATAGAAAAACATTCGCCTTTGGGGTCGCCTAAAAATGTTGGCCTATTCATTTACAATGCCCTGACTTGCCAATGGACTTCCCTGGTCCTCCTGGACATCATCAGGCAGCAATATCTAATTGGCTATGCAACGTCATATCATTCAGTTCCTTGTGGAATCTCTGATTGGGTGGGCTTAGCTGTATCTCCAGGAATGAGAAAGAATGAGAAATGAGAAGATGCCCCAAGATGGAAGACAAGGTTGCCAAACCATCATGATCAGGGGGTAACAAGGGCACCAATCAGATGGGGCAATTTTGTTCTCTCTTGTTCCAGAGTGTAAAATGCATTCCAAGAGGTTCAAATGACAATAAAAGGAACTTCAGCTAAGCATTAGGAAGAATGGCCTGAGCTGTGTGGCACTAGGACAGCTCAGAAGACAGATGCTAGATGGCAACTTATCAGAGAGGCTGTCCTACCTTGGCAGGGGATTGTGCTGCATGACCTTTGAGGTCGCTTTCTTTTTTTAATATAATTTTTATTAAGTTCTCCATATTTTATGACATTTCAGTATCAAAAAATGCATACCCCAATCTCCATGAGGGGGGTCCCAGCACATACCCCAGCCGCAGGAGCAGATTAAGAAGGAAAGTGGTGAGAAGGTGCCCGCTTCAGCTGACCTTCCAGAAGGTTCCAGAAGTGTAAGCAGATACTTAACATATTGACTAGAGCTGTTAACTCAACAAAGAATTTAGAGGGGCAAAACCCCTCATTTTATAGCTATAAAATAATAGGTTTGGAGGAAAATTAGAAACCCAATTTAGTCCAACCCCAATCTTATTACAGCAAGCTGCTTGAGCCTTGAGTAGATTTGAGCCCCTCCTTTTCAGAGAGGGAAAGTCAGATATACATTTGTGAATCAATAAATGCTATCATAGTGCTCTTTCTTATAATTCTCTCTTGCAGATGAAACATAATTCCTAGAAATTGCACATTTTGTACAAAAAAGGGAGGGGGAATGACTCTCACAGAAGTTACACGGCACTTATCTGGATGTTTAAAAGCTATCAAACTGTTGTCCCTCTTCTTTTAAACACAGCTCAAAAGCAAAGTGTAATTTAATCTTTGGCTCCCTATTTTTTCGTCTATTGACCAAACTCCAAATGCAGATGATTACATATTAGCAAACTGGCACGTATCAAAACCTTTTACTATTTGTCAACCAACCTACATATTAATTCAGGTTACGCTTCCTACTGCTTTAATTCCCTGACAACAGTAGAATGTTATACACACAAAATGTTGGACTGTTAAAAAAAAAAAAAAAAGCGGGAGGAGTGCCCACCTAAGTTATAATTAAGGAAATAGCTGTTATTTCTACTTGATGATTCCTGCTTCCATGTACAGCACGATGGCAAGAGTCAACCAATGTATCAGAGCTGGGCAAAGCATTCTGGGAGATCCAAAGCAATGTGGAACTCCAGGGTTTCTTAACAGACTGACCAGGTTCCATTTTCTCTCTCTCTCTGACAAAATCATTGCCCGATTTTCCCTCCCCACTCTACCCAAAGAAGAAAGCAATGTAGGATTTCATATCTATCTATCCATGAAATATTATCAATGAACATCAAAGTAACTCATGTACATAGTACTTTTTCCTTTTCTGTTTTTGGTGTTGGCTTAATTATGTGCTCCTTTCACACAGAGCAGGCAAATATTATATTTATTTATAGTAAATCATAGCAGTTACTGCATGCCCAATAAACCTGGATGGAGAAACACAGCTCACCTTTGTTACATATCTTCAGGAGCCAGGCAAAAATATTTCTCTTCAACCAGGCCTTGGGCTGATTAACATTCTACAGCATATCCTTTTAAATGTGTTTGTGGGAGGGACGGCTATTTGTTTGTCTTTGTTTTTCTTATATATATATAGTGGTACCTCTGGTTGCGAATGGGATCCGTTCCGGAAGCCCGTTCGCAATATGGGCAGAGCGCAACCTGAAGCGTCGGGTCTGCGCATGCGCAGGTTGCGATTTGCCGCTTCTGCGCATGACGTCATTTTGAGCGTCTGCACATGCGCGAGCGGTGAAGAGTGGTGAAACCCGGAAGTAACCCTTTCTGGTACTTCCGGGTTGCTGTGGGATGCAACCTGAAAAAACGTATCATGAAGCAAACGTAACATGAGGTATGACTGGATTTGTAACTGGCTGACTGACTGAACCCAAAGGGTGCTCATCAATGGTTCCTCTTCATCCTGTAGAAGAGTGAATAGTGGGGTGCCACAGGGTTCTGTCTTGGGCCCGGTCTTAATCAACATCTTTATCAACGACTTGGATGACGGACTCAAGGGCATCCTGATCAAATTTGCAGATGACACCAAACTGGGAGGGGTGGCTAACACCCCAGAGGACAGGATCACACTTCAAAACGACCTTGACAGATTAGAGAACTGGGCCAAAACAAACAAGATGAACTTTAACAGGGAGAAATGTAAAGTATTGCACTTGGGCAAAAAAAATGAGAGGCACAAATACAAGATGGGTGACACCTAGCTTGAGAGCAGTACATGTGAAAAGGATCTAGGAGTCTTGGTTGACCACAAGCTTGACATGAGCCAACAGTGTGACGCAGCAGCTAAAAAAGCCAATGCAATTCTGGGTTGCATCAATAGGAGTATAGCATCTAGATCAAGGGAAGTAATAGTGCCACTGTATTCTGCTCTGGTCAGACCTCACCTGGAGTACTGTGTCCAGTTCTGGGCACCACAGTTCAAGAAGGACACTGACAAACTGGAACGTGTCCAGAGGAGGGCAACCAAAATGGTCAAAGGCCTGGAAACGATGCCTTATGAGGAACGGCTAAGGGAGCTGGGCATGTTTAGCCTGGAGAAGAGGAGGTTAAGGGGTGATATGATAGCCATGTTCAAATATATAAAAGGATGTCATATAGAGGAGGGAGAAAGGTTGTTTTCTGCTGCTCCAGAGAAGCGGACACAGAGCAATGGATCCAAACTACAAGAAAGAAGATTCCACCTAAACATTAGGAAGAACTTCCTGACAGTAAGAGCTGTTCGACAGTGGAATTTGCTGCCAAGGAGTGTGGTGGAGTCTCCTTCTTTGGAGGTCTTTAAGCAAAGGCTTGACAACCATATGTCAGGAGTGCTCTGATGGTGTTTCCTGCTTGGCAGGGGGTTGGACTCGATCAGTGGCGTAGCGTGGGGGTGCAGGGGGGGCCAGCCGCACCGGGCGCAACATCTGGGGGGGGCGCTCGCACTCGCAGCTCTCTTCCCCTACCTGGCTCACTCACTCTCTCTCACTGCAGTGCTGGCTGTGCGAATCCGATCCGAGCCGCCGGGTTGCCGCCCACTGTGGAGGGGCGGAGGGTGCCAGGCATGCGGTGCGGAGAGAGAGCGAGGGACTATCTGGGGGAGGGACAGTGCAGCGGCCGCCCAGCGCAGCGCTGAGCGCCGGAGAGAACCACACCAGACCAGCCCAGGCAGCAGCAAGAAGAAGCTGGCA